TAAAACATAACTAATCATAAGGAACTCTTCAACAGATCTACTCCTGATAGAAGTGAACAGGTCACTAGAAATGACTGACAAGACAGGGCCACTGCAGACATAATTCCCTTATATAATTAATAATTGCTAGAAAATGGAGTTTGACATTATTTACAATTATACCAACATTCATGGAGACTGAGTATCACAGGCATAAGAAGCGTGTTTTCATGCTTCCCAAGTAGTTTTCTGTTTTAGATACATAGTGTAATTAGGTCAGTTACCACAACCGAACTTTTTCTCAACAAGCACAAGTTTTATGTCCCTTCACCAGTCTCTTCCATCTTTCTGGGCCTATTCATTTGCAGAGCAGAAACTAACCAGTTCTTCATGTCATGCATTCACATGTAACGTCCAATCTTTATTTGCTGTCCAGTTTCTTTAAGATAAAAGTGACTCGCGGCAGGGCTACGCAGACGAGGACGTTCCGTATGGAGGTCACATCCTCGCGCATCTTCCTTCCGTTTTATCTCCTCGGGGTCCAGCTTCATGCGAGGCCCTCCATACGGAACATCATGGCTCTGCCTCACTGGCTTCCACCAGCCGCGCTCTCGGGGTTGGATTTTATGCCCAAAACCTCAAGGGGAGGAGGCTGGGGGATGTAAGTGTTCTAGTCTGATTACATGGAGTTGGTTGTCCTTTAGACCGATGAGTGCTGGCCGTTGAGGCTGTGGGTTGTTGCCGTGAGCCTGCTGTCTTGCTCCTGGTGTGGCTGCCTCCTGTTGTGCTGGATAGGGTGACCGCTGGCTGTTCCACGAAATGCGGCTGGGCCACTTTCTTGTTCAGGACTCTTGAGTCCGGCTGAGCCACAGTCCTCTGTTGGCCTGTCAAAGACCCAGCTGGAGACACTGCCTCCAGGGAGCCTTCCCTCCTCTGAGTCACTGCCCGCCCGCGCTCCCTCCCCCCGCCCCCCCTCCCACCCCAGTTATCCTGTTAGAGCTGCCTGTCTGTCATGTTTACAGCCCTGCTTCCCACACCAGATTGTAAGCCTCTTGAGAGCAGAGCGCATGGTAAAGTGCTGAATAGTTTTTTGATGAAAGATTTGACAAACTAAAGAGGGTCACATAGAAGTCATAGTTGGCCATGAGCTGAATAGTAATCAGTACTGCAGTGTTTCTGGAATACTTTACCGCTGTGGTACTAACCAGACAGGTGACAGAAGCCTGGCACAGGATGGTGGAGAAGTTCTACAGTCACTGTTATTACTCACATCATTGACAAGGGGCTAAGAGAGCATGTCAGGAAAAACACGACACTGGATGGGTTCCAGAAGAGAGCATCTAGGTGGGAAGCCTCGCCCGAGGGCCGCGTTTGGTTTGCTATTTAATTCACCTGCTTCTTGGCCTGGTTTTATTAGGGAAATTGTTTTACTTTTCTCTATTTGTCTATAAATCCTGGTGGTATTGTATGGTTGTCATATTAGAATTTAAACTATTTAGATTCTATTTACTTAAACTATTAGTCCCAATAGTTTGTTTTTAAAAAAATATATTTTATTGATTTTTTTACAGAGAGGAAGAGAGAGAGTGAGTTAGAAACATCGATGAGAGAGAAACATCGATCAGCCGCCTCCCGCACATCTCCCACTGGGGATGTGCCCACAACCCAGGCACATGCCCTTGACCGGAATCGAACCTGGGACCTTTCCATCCGCAGGCCGAGGCTCTATCCACTGAGCCAAACCGGTTTCGGCAGTCCCAGTAGTTAATTATGAAACATTTCAAATGTACTGATAAGCTTAAATACTTTTTACAGTATGAGCCTGTGTGCCTAACATCCATTTTACTGTACTTTCTTTACAGTTATCTCTATATCCATCCCTCTATTCATCCTATTTTTGGTATATTTCTAAGTGAATTACATTAATGCATTTCCTTCTAAATATAAGCACACACATATTAACTAGACGTCAGTGTTAGTTTCTATGCATTTAATGAAAATTTACATATTAAATTTATACACTGAAATACACAAATCTTAAGTACATCTTCTGTTGAGTTTTGACAAATGCATACACCTATGTAACCCAAACCCCTATCAAAAAATAGAACATTTACTATTAAATCCAGAAAGTTCCCTCATGTTCCTTCCTCGTCAGTCTCCCTCTCTACCCTCCCAGAACCAATATTCTGATTTTTTTTCTTTATCTTGGGTTAGTTTTCCCTGTTCTAAGGTTTTATATAAATGGTGTTGCACATTTTTTACTGTTTTGAGTGAGTCTTGAAGAAACTCAGCATAGTGTTTTTGAGATTCAGCCCATGCTGTATTAGTAATTTGTTCCTTTTATTACTGAGTAGTATTCCCAAATGCAGTGTAACAGCATCGGTCCATTCTGTTGACAGGCACTTGGGCTGTTTCCAATTTTTGGCTATTATGGGTAAAACTGCTCTGAAGATTCCTGTGCAAGCCTTTTTGTGGGTTTATGTTTTTCTCTGGAGTAAATACCTAGGAGTGGAACTGTTGTGTGATAAGGTAGGCATATACATGTTTAGTTTTTTTTAATTTTACCTTTCATTTACAGTTTGCATTGAACATTATTTTGTGTTGTTTCAGGTACAGCATAGTGGCTAGACAACCATATACTTTACAAAGTGTTCCCCCAGATATTTTTAGCACCAACCATATATAGTTATTACAATAATACTGACAATGTTATTGACTGTACTTTATACCCCTGTGACTATTTTGTAATGACCAGTTTGTACTTCTTAATCCCTTCACCCTTTCCACCCCCCTCCCCTCCCATGCCCACCAGTCTGTTCTCTGTATCTATAAATTCTACATGTTTATAAGAAGCTGCCTGACCTTTCCCCAAAGTGACTGCACACGTTTTGTACTCACACAGATAATAGGGCTCTGCTTTTCCCACAGCCTCACCAATCTATGGTGTTGTCAGTCCTTGAAATTTTAGCCATTCTGGTAGGTAATGGTATCTTGTAGTTTCAATTTGCATTTCCCTGATGACTAATGGCATCTTGCTGGATCATATGGTAGCCCTATTTTTAATTTTTTGAGGAACCTCCATACTGGTTTCCATAGTAGTTGTACCAATTTACATTCCCACTAACAGTGCACAATTGTTCCCCTTTTCCACATCCTTGCCAAAACTTGATTATCTGTTTTTTTCATGATAGCCATTCTAACAGGAATGAGGTGATATCTCATTGTGGTTTGATTTGCATTTCCCTGATATTAGTGATATTGAACACTTTTCCATGTACTGTTGGCCATTTCTGTTTTCTCTATGGAAAATGTCTATCCAAGTCCTTTCCCCATTTTAAAATCAGAGCATCTTTTTGCTGTTGAGTTGTATGATTCTTTATGTATTTTGAATATTAGACCCTTATCAGAGAGATGGTTTACACATACTTTCTCACATTTGGTTGCTGCCTTTTCATTTTGCTGATGTTTTCTGTGTGGTGCAGGAGCTTTTTAGTTTGATGTGGTCCCACTTGTTTATTTTTGCTTTTGTTGCTTTTGCTTTTGGTATCATAAAAAAAAAAAAAAATGTTGCCAAGGCCTACATCAGTGGTTCTCAACCTTCTGGCCCCTTAAATACAGTTCCTCATGTTGTGACCCAACCATAAAATTATCTTCGTTGCTACTTCATAACTGTAATGTTGCTACTATTACGAATCGTAATGTAAATATCTGATACGCAGGATGGTCTTAGGCGACCCCTGTGAAAGGGTCGTTCCACCGCCAAAGGGGTGGCGACCCACAGGTTGAGAACCGCTGGCATCAAGGAACTTTACCCTTGTTTTCTTCTAGTAGTTTTGCAGTTTTGGGTCTTACATTTAAGTACTTAATCCTTTTTGAGTTAATTTTTGTGAGTGGTATAAGGTGGGGGTCCAATTTCATTCTTCTGCATGTGGTTCCCAGTTTTCCCACCACCATTTAGTGGAGACTGCTCTTTCTTTGAGTCTCTTGGCTCCCCTGTCAAGTATTAGTTGACTGTATATGTGTAGGTTTATGTCTGGGCTCTCAGTTCGATTCCATTAGTCTCTGTGTGTATTTTTATGATGGCACCATACTGTTTTGATTGCTATATAGCTTTGTAATAAAGCTTGAAATCAGAAAGTGGGATGCCTCCGGCTTTGTTCTCCCTCAGGATTGCCGGGCTACTTAAGGTCTTTAGTAGTTCCATAGACATTTTAGGGTTGCTTTTTCTATTACTGAGAAAAATGCCATTGGAATTTTGATAAATGGTAAAATGATGTTTTTATGATATAATTAAAATCTGTAACAGGCTACCAAGAAGCAGTGGAGACTGTGATATTTAATCTTTAGAGAATAAACTCATGATCAGTGTTGGCTCTAAACCCCACCAAGATTAGACATTTTTGGCTCAACTTTATACTGCCTATCTCTAGGATTTAGTTGTTACTCGTATTTCCTCCAGAATTATAGTTGGTTATTTTTACCTCATCCTAGGTTCATGTTATTTACACACAATTCCACTGCAGTGAATTTAAGACCATCTGATATTTTCTGCTTCCCCACAGTATGGTATGAAACAATGAGACAACATTCAACTTCCTTAGGACTGTAGGGGGAAATGGGACTCGGCGCCAAAGGAGTGTCTCCCTTTCCTGCCTGCCAGTTTACATGACTCATGTGAATATATCTATGTATACAAAAGGCTAAGCGACCAGCTGACCGGCTAGTAGGTATGACGTGCATTGACCACCAGGGGGCAGATGCTCAATGCAGGAGCTGCCAAGCGACAGCAACTTTGCAGAGTGCCCTCTTGCACTCTGGGACCCCTTGGGGGATGTTGGGCTGCCAGTTTCAGCCTGATCCCTGCAGGCCAGGCCGAGGAACCCCACCTGCCGGAGGGACCAGGCTCACTCTGCAGACGCCCTTCAAGCCCCAGGGCTACCCCAGGTGCGGCCAGCTGGGGAGGGACCGCGGGAGGTTGGCTCCAGGGCATGTCTGTCCCGTCTCACCCAGTCCCGCCCCGTCACCACCTTCTAGTTTCCTTTCAATGTGCAGGAATCCATGCACTGGGCTTCTAGTTATCATATAACTTGGGAGGTTTCTTCACTCTTATTTCTGTTGATACGTCATTGTAGTTTGGCAACTGAGACAGCCAAAAGCTTCAGGTTCTCCAGGGATCATGGAGAGGAGTTGTTACCTTTGCTTGAAAAGAAATGGACTAACAGGCACGCCTTCCCTTCCTGGCCAGCTCTTGTTCCCGGATACCCACCTGCGACACGATGGCAAAGCAGAAGCCACTTACTAGCTATGTGTTTTGGGGAAAGTTACTTAACCTCTGCACCTCAGTTTCCTCATCTGTAGCCCAGGGGAGGGAACCCTGAGCCAAGAGCACCCAGCTGAGCCACACAGAAATGGTGAGATGTTGTTGTATTAAGCCACTAAGTTTTGGGGTACTTTGTTACATAACAACAGCTGTATCACTTCTTAGAAAGATGAAATAATAACATCCAGTTCCTCCTCAGTATTTTTAATGGTTTTCTAATTACTATGTAATCAAGCCTTTCCAGGTGTCAGACTTTTCGCCAGGTCAGCACCAATGGTCAGGGGGCTGCCTCTCCGTCCGTCAGTGTGGGTAGCCCTTGAGGACAATGTGCCATTTCTTCTGGGTCTTCCACTCACCCACCTGGTGTGGGATCCAGAAACCCGAGCTGTGGTGGAGTGACAGCTGCTCCTGGAGAGGCCGGCTCCAGATTTCCTCTCTGCTCTAATGAGTGAGTCCCTGCTTCTTCCTCCCCCTGGCTTCCCCCACTGAGTAGGTGGGAGTAACTTGATTAAAACCGTCATAATTTCTAGATTATTCCCTATCCGTTTGACTAATTTACATATACATACTGGCTGTCTCTGTAGTAACCACCTCTCCAGGGATCAGTGCCCTGTGTTCTCATCAAGCACTAAAACAGAAAGCAAACTTGAACAAATCCAGTCATTCCTGAATGTATCATCATTAGGACCTGTAAGTAAAATAACCATTTTGATTTCTTTTGAGCTCTGTTTTGTACTGTTTTTGTATTTTCATGATTTAAAAGAAACTTTTAACTTGATTCTCTCAAAAGTTTTATTTAGGAAGTGTACCTACATGTGATGCTATTTACAATTCTCCTCCTAAAAACTAAATTTTCCTGGCCATGGCACATCCGTCTCTTGTAATGTCTATTCTCTCTCATGGTTGAAGGCTCCCAATCTATTCCATAGACACATCTCAGGGCCCTTGATTGGAATGACCTGTGCCTTAAAAAACACCTAGGTAAGCATGCTTGTGCCCCAATCTGACAAAGTTGGAAATGGCAAAAAATGAAGTAGCCTTTTTCCTCCTTTAATGAAGAATTCATTCTCACTATGTGTTTATTCCAGAGGGAGAATTGATACACAGCTCTCCATAAAACCTGAGCAAGCAGCTCTATAGTGCTGTCTATTGTATATGTATGCATACACGCATATACACACATATATAAATCCCTTTGTGATGTTTAGCTGCTAATTGAGTTGGAGGACTGACTTTCTGGCTAAACTTCAGTTTAAAAAATTCGTTCAGAACAGCAGGCAGAGCTGGGACTACTACCGTAGGCGACTAAGTCTAAGACTTGCACTCGACATTTTAATACCTGAAAAATTTGCACGTGTGCTACAAATGATGCTGTTAGATTAGATCTCATCTTGTAACTGTCTGTTTGAAACAGTTCAGAAGCAGCATTATTTCAAATGCACTACTGTTACTGGTGGATCTTTGGGCACTGAACTTAATGCAGAGAATCTGTGGGAAAGGTTACTACAGGTAAAGGTCATTTAGTGCAGCGGTCGCCAACCTTTGGGGCCTCACGGACCACAGGTTGGTGACCACTGATTTAGTAGAGCCCAGCCCCCTCTTCAGGACCCTCCCAGAAGGTCAAGGCTGGGGTTTTTCACTAGAGACACAGCTCAGGTAAAGTTCACCTTTTCAAACAATTTAAGGAAACTGAATTTTATTTTTTTAAATGTGACTCTCCTATTCTCCTAGATTCTTTTGTTTTTATTGATTTCAGAGAGAGAATCATCGATTGCCCCCTGCACGTCCCCTACTGGGGATCGAGCCCGAAACCCTGATATGTACCCTTGACTGGAATTGAACCCAGGACCCTTCAGTCTGCAGCCCGATGCTCTATCCACTGAACCAAACCAGCTAGGGCTGAATTTTATATTTAAAAAAAGCCAGGTTATATTGTTAAACATGCTCACCAAATAAAAATTTGCTATAGTATTTTCTAAGTTTATGCTAGTCTGAATATTTCCAATTTTTTTCAGATACTGTATCAGTGTAAATTGTAGGTTCAACAGAGCATAGAGACTCCTATAAAAATAAGTTTTATTCTCAAAATGGGCTCACAATATAAAACAGATAAATGGATTAATTTTACTAATTTTTTTGGGATCGTCTGTCTTATCAGATGCAACACAGTAGACAAGCAAGTAAAACAAAGTCACTGGTTCCCCACCTGAGGCCTGTGACACGATGAAAAACCAACACTGGCCACTAGAGACAAGTCAGTCATCTTTTCCCCTCCCCTCCCCTTCTGTCACTCTTCTGCCACTCACTGTCTTACCATCCTGGCTACCCGAGAGAGCCAGGCTTGGGAAGAAAATGAGTCTAAAGCTTAAATAAAGCAAAAGCTCTTGCCTGAGACAGCACTGCAAGTCAGACCAGCAGGTGTGGCCCTCAGAGCCTTTTCCCTTAGGTCAGAGACCACCACAAAGGCCTGGCTGACCTGTGTGCCCTTCCTCACTTGGCTTGTGCTGGGCAGGCAGAGTGTGAAGGGCGGTGGGATCTCAGGGAAGCAGACATGGCTCACGTGTTCCATTCAGAACTTCTGGAGGAATTTGAGGACAAGGTCCCGCAGTCGTACCCTGAGCATCTCGTCATTGTCACAGATGATGTGGGTTGAATCTTCCTCTATCTGGATGAGGGTCTCAGCTTCTTGGAGCAGGACGATGTGGCCCTTGGCTGTGTCCTCCACTTTGATGTCACTGAAGCCATGCTGCTCCAACAGAAAAGAGAAGGAGGTTGGTGGGGACTCAGGAGCAGCGGCTGACCGAAGGCAGGGGGGTATTTCAGCAACTGAGAACCCTAACCACGGCTCTTCCCAGACAGCTAAGCTCAGTGTCTAGAAACCGGCGTTTCTGACCCTCCTCAGTGAAATCCTTCAGACCAGACCTTCTGCAGTTCAGCCTGAGTTCACACAGAGCGGCCCTGGACAACGCACGGGCTAAGGGTGCCGACTGTTGGCAGAGCTGAAAATCCGCATATAACTTCTGGCTCCCCGAAAACTTAGCCACAGTTGGCCCTCGGTACCCACAAGGAATTGGTTCCAGGACCCCCTGTAGATACCAAAATCTACGGGTGTTCAAGTTCCTTACATAAAATAGTGTAACAATGCTCTCCATCTGTGGATCGAAAATACTGTTTTTGATCTGTGGGTGCAAAACCCAGGGAGATGGAAGGCTGACTGTATATGTATTGAAAAGGCTCCACGTATAAGTGGACCTGCACACTTCAAACCCGTGTAGTTCAAAGGCCAACTGTACTTCAAAAGAGGCCCCCAAACATGCAAAACAAAACAATTTCTGTAACCTGCGTACGCTTTTGTGATTGAGGAGCACAGCCCAGTGCCTGGTCAGGTCAGGGGTCTGGGACACGGCTCCCCGCCAGCAGCCTCCGCACCAAGCCCATGAGCCCTGGTGAAAAGGCTCAGTCCTGCCCCAGGAAAATGCCATTCCTCACGATCCCGGTGATCGGGCACATCCCTCTCAGGGAGAAGGAAATAAAGCAGCACAGCAAATGCCTCTCTAGCCGCTCTGATGCGAATCACAGGACTTGCTTACACATCAGACGTAATGTTGAGAAAAAAGAAAAGAAGTGGAAAGAAGACTGATTTGCCTGAAAGGGATGCCAAACAGGTGAGGAACGGGACCTGAGGAGCTCCACCTAGTTCTTGCGAGCACACCTGTGGGGTGGGCAGACGAACATCCCTCCTGCAGAAGGAACGCGGCAGAGATGGTGGAGGGAACAGGGTCCGGGCCTGGGCGCTGAACCGGGCAGAAGAACTAAGTAAAGGTCTTTCCGGGGAAGCAAGTTGTTTAAAAGACAAGTCGAGGGTGAGTCCCGGCACCAGGGACTGGGGCTGCTGCAAGGTCATGAGGAGGCACTTACTGGTGTGTCCCCCACTCGACGCCCATGGAGCACCCACAGTACCACCAGGGGCCGGGGAGCCGCACAACCTGGTGGAAGCCCTTCCTTCAGGGACAATGACATGACAATGGAGAAGACAAATCCCAATAAAGAGAAAGCTTTTCCCATGTGGAAGCACTCAGCCACTGAGGTACTTAGTGTGGACAAACGGCAGCAGCTGATGGTTTAAAAGAAGAAAGTCTCTTTTCCTGGAACTTTTTATTCCAGTTAGTTGCAGTTCTTGCAAGAAGCAGCATGAATAATACGTTTAGCTAATTCCCTCTTTCTATCAAGAATTCTGTAAAACATTAGAATCTTTGAAGTTCTGTGACTGAAGCCAAAATTCTAAAAACCTTTAAGGTTAAATTATTTTTCTTATAATTATAGTTGAGAAGTCTGTTCCTTGGGAGGAGCGGCCATCGGGACAAGGTGTGACCAGCTGCTGCGATGGAGAGGGACCCCTTTCTCTGAGGCAACGCCTCACAACTCCCGCCCAGCAATGGCTGGGCCTGCCTCTCGAGCTCACGGGGACCCAGTAACACTGCCCCTTCTCCCGACACTCCCCCGAGACTCATCCCTGGGACCAGGCCACGCTGGTGCTCTGACAGCCACCAGCCGGGGCTTGTGGAGAAGGGAGGGCAGACCCTTCTCCATCCCCCGTCCCCGCCTGCCCGTCTGCCACAGGTTTCTGAGAAAGGCCTCAGCCTAGCTGCTCAAGGAATGGCATCTGATGAGGCTGTCATCCCGCTACCTGGTACTGGATGGAAGGAGGGTCCGCTCCGCGCACCTCTCACTCTCCCCCAGTCTGTCCCTGGCATGACCTTGGACCAGGGAGACGCCACAGGGACAGCAGCTCAGTGGAGACCAAACCAAGTGGAAAGCAGGAGGCACAGGGAGAGAGAGGACGGCTCCTGGGCCGTGCAGACGTGCGAACGTGTGCTCACCTTCTCCAGGGTCTGCACAAACTGCTCCACTGGGATGGAGCCGCTCAGCAAGGGCTTCAGAACCTTGCAGTCAGGGATGTCATCAGTCACCCGCTTTCTCTTCTTACCACCTGTGGGCTGGACCGGCCTGGGCGGGGGCTGGAGCAGGAGGGAACATGGGTCAGGACACACACAACCTGTGGGCACCCCAGGCCCAGCTAGCCTGGTGCCGCCTGTGGTGTCAAGTCTGCAGGCCCCGGGGCTCCACCTGGAGTTCTCAAGACCCATAAGCAAATGCCAGCTCTCCACACATCACACCTTATTTGGCAAAGACACCGTCCTTTGATAAAGAGCCACGTTCAATTTTTAACTGATTCAGTTCAGTGTTTTCTGAGTAAATTAACCCGTGTTGGCATGCAGGTGCAGCAATAGCACAGCCGCAAGGGACACTGGCTGTGGGTCACTGACTGGTGAGAACCCTCCTGGCCCAGAGAAAGTGCCTGTAAGGCGGCGGCGAGAGACTTCTGTGAGGACCAGGCACACAGAGCACGGGGCCCGGCACAGCGTCCCGCACACTTCACACTCCCACGATGCAGGGCCAGAGGTGACCCAGGCCAGCTCTGCAAGGTGCTGCCCACCCACGTGGAGCCTGTGCAGTGACGCCCAGGCCCTCGGGCCCCGATGGCAGCTGTGCTTTTATTTCTAGGCCTCGGTGGGAGGGTGCCATCTGGGCTGATTTTTAAAGCCCCCTCCCCCAGCACCCACCCAGTGCCCTGCAGTGCTGGGGTGGGCACCCGCGGAGCTCTGAGTGATGGGGAACTTCCAGAGCCGTGAGCAGCACTTAGGAGGATGGGTGGCCCCATCTCTGTGAATGGTAGTTTCTCTTCCCTTTTCTCTCTGAGGCGCGTGGCCAGAGC